GCCGGCTGCTGCTGATGGAATTTTTGGTACATTTTGTCGATTTCCTCACAATAGGACTCCGAAGAGATGGTTTAGCGCGCTTGTTGAAAGTTACAGTGAATCACACCAGCCGCTGACAATCATACAGTCTCTTTATGGTGGGTTTTTGCCTATATGCGTGCCTGGGTTCAAAAAAAATGATTTTTCCGTTAACCAGCTATCGCACCCCTACGAACCACAACCCTCAGAAGTCGAAACTTGTGCGAGGTAAGGACTAATGAGGTCTTACCTTTCAACCTGTGATTCCTAACACGGATTGGACGATAACAAGTGAAAATCGAGCGTTCAGCCTGTGGCTTGAACCATCGACTCACACATCGGCCGATTGACTGACTGAACAAGGCACCCAGGTCGAACCGCCCGGCTACCGACCGCCCAACCAATGTACTGAACGTCTCCTGTTATTATAAATGATCCAATTTTCATCACATGTGACGATTAGCTCCAAAAAGGGATAGTTTTGATTGCGCAAAAGCAAAGAAAAAGAAACGTGACGATTTCTGTCGATCTTTTTGACCTTTTCAATTCGATTTAAATCATCAAAAATCTTATTGGAGCTGACGCCATCCCACGCACAGTGTGTAACAACTTTGGGACTCATCGTCGAGGATAAAATTTCCGAAACGAAATTCCGTAAACCAACGTTACTGTTCAATTGGTTCATTTTGAATTCGTAGATGAATATTGGCTAAAATCGCTTGTTGACATCATACAGTAATAAGCTGAAAAGAGGGATAAAATTGAAACTTGTAAAAAAATTTAAAGCATCAATGTTTACAGAGTGTCTCACTTGATACACTGATAGAGAATTTTGTTCTCTACAGTGTGTCTCACTTCTCATGGAAACAGCCCCGTATCTTCCGCAATAATTGAGGTAGAATGATGAAACTCTCAATACTGATGGAAATGCTCAAAATGCACGTACCACCTGAATGGGGTTGGCCAAAATGATATACAATGCCCGCCACTTCCGATGGAACATAAACAATACTAGGGGGCAAAATAGGCTTAAAATTTCTTCATATTCGTGATCAGGACTACAAACTTACTACGAATACTCTTTTTTCCTGGAAAATTCAGCACAATGAGCATCTATGAATTGAGGTCACGAGGTGAAAATCCAGAATCGGAATAATGTTTGGCTAAAATGAAGTAATCAAACATACGATGATGTAATGTCGCGACTATTACAGTATATCATCCTCAACTTTGTGCTCTCATTAGAGGTTCGCTTCACATTGCAAATCACAAAAACACCTTGATATATTTTTTAGTTTTTCGACCGTATTTGAGAAACTAGGAACGTCTTGAAAAAACCCGTTCTATACGATATCGAAGTGAAGAAAGTTCTTTACAAAATGCATAAATAAACTTTGGAATTTGGTTGGTGTTCAATTTTGTTTACTTGAAAATAGTAATTTATTGGAATGTCTAGTAAGGTAGGTATGGAATTTAACGCCCAATGTGTAATAACGCCCGAATGCAATTTTCGGAGATAATGCTGCCCGAGTTATTTTACTCTTTACACAGATATTTTACTCTTTACACACACATAGAATAAACCAATAGGAAGGCGCGGACGCGACGCGGCGCTATTATCCTTAAGTGGGCGCATTTATACAAGGCGAAAATGTATGTGTATCATAGTGAATAAATATAAAACGTATGAAAATTCCAAACGATTGTAAGATTGAATCTGATACTGAGAATAGTCCTCAGGATATAATAATTAGTTGATTACTGATCTCATTCATGTTTCAGCTATCCTGTTGTATTTAATTTTAGGGTGTTGATTGACGCACTAGTCTGGGGCGTCATTAGCCATATACGTTTAATAGCGTAGCTATATACGTTTAATAGCGTAGATGAAATTTCATAANAATTTTTCTTTTTTTTGCTTCGATTAGAAATTCATCATAAACTACTGATGAACTCGGCCTATGAGGTATATTTCTTGTAGACAACTGCTGCACAGTAATGTACTTCAGAGTAGTGCCTACTCTGGATAGGGTAGACTTTCTCCAATAACACTCGACTGAAGTGCATGCAGGTTCCTCACTACGACGATGAACCCACATTAAAAATGCCACTGCATGTTTACATCCTCCTGCTGAAGCAGCACAATCATTGCACTGACAGCTAATAATTTCGTTATCATTTTCGTTCACCTTCAGCGTCACGTTATATGGTTTGGTTTTTACTTTGTGTTCTGGGCTCATTTTACACTTAACAGTGCAAACCCCGCACTCCCGGTGCAGTTGTACATACCCAATCGCATCGTCTCCATAGGATTTCCTTGCAGACCTGTGATATAAAACAATGACATTAATTATCATATTATCTAGTATGTATCAACATAACCTAAAATATTTAGGTATATGATCTTTCATACATTTATGAAAATGAACAATTCCCACATGTTTTCACATTTTTCACATTTTTAAGCTCCACAGCATAGTAATCGGCATTGAATGCCGATTGAAAAAAAAAGTGCAACCATAAATGCATCTATTCTAGGTAGATTACTGCTATCTGCTCGCACGATTCTAGGCTCCATTTTAAAATTTAACAAATGCGAATTGAAATGTTCAAAAAAACTATAGCAAAAGTAACGTAAAAAGCTTTAGAAAACAGTCACAAAATAAACGACGTGTATTGTACAATCAGCCAGGCAGTAGGTGGTTAATTGCGTGTGACGTCACCCGAAAGATTGACCAATGACAAAGTGTTTCCGTCACAGACTGAATTTCAAAAATGTATTGCCCATTTTTCTGTTTATTTCTCAATTAATAAACTAAAAATGATATAGATAAAAATAAAATGTGGTTTATTATGCTATTAGCTAATAGGATGACCACAATTTTTAGTGTATTTTCAATACTGTCAAATAGCCTATTGTATATCTGACATAAAATGAACCTTCCACACCAGAACAAAATACGGGCATTACGCTAAGTTAGAATCATCAGGAGATTATAAAACTCATTTCCTGGTAGTCAGCATCATCAGGAGATAAGTTTTATCATCTTCTGATGATGCCTACTTGGTTAGCGAAACTCAAGTCATGAGACAGTATTTTCTTCCGATATAAATAACGTGTTTTTGATAAATATATATCACCTGTTTGTGTTCACATTTCATGTTCATTCCTTTATGTATCAATAGATTTTTGTTTTGCCACATCTCTTGTCTTTCGTTGTATTTTCCAGTATGAATTGGTTCACACTAGTCGTCATAGTGTTATCAAATGTAAAATGGTTTTCATTACTATTATTATTGTTATTATTCTTACTCTTTGTAACCTGTTTGTTTGTTGATGGTGTATATCATAAGTTAAACCACCAGTTAAGTACTCTATTTTCATCCTTTAGGTGAATGCTACTATGATCGATCGCTCCATTTTGCAGCATTACTAGATAGATGTCCCCTGCCATCAATCTGGTTCTGACCTCATCCGGAACTGAGAGAATCTGCTATTGTAACTGAAATCAACTTGAAAAGTTTACTCTGAGAAGTCACGGCGTAATATAAACCAATAAAGAGCCCAATCAGTTCCACACTAACACAAGTTCTTATATATCTGTAACCGATTCGTCGTTATTTTTCGGACAAACCGAAAAAATATAAGATATAAAGTTAGTTATCATACACCTGTGTTGACGACTTCCTTAGGGTTCAATTTTGGACCTATTACTTTCTATCCTCTATATAAATGAATTCCAAAAGTACCTACAATTCAACAAGTGTCTCAGATTTATGTACTTGTCTTTTCTAGAAGCTGGCATAAAGACAGCTATTAAGCATTTGAATACTGATCTATTTCTGAGAAGTTCTGTCTTTCGGTCAATCCTGGTCCATGGTAATTATTTTTGGTAGGAAAGAGGCCCGCAATCGCTCTTGTAATGGCCTGAACATTGTAATGAAAGGTACCTTTTATGTTCAACTGATAATGCAATGAAGTTGGGAATCATACTTGATTTCCCTTCAAACTTCACTCCTCACGTCAATTCAGTTCTGCAACCTTGAGCTGAATTACAAGAACGGACATAAAGTTTATAAAACCACGCTATGTGAAACCTCAGTTCTTTCGCATGCGCAACATCTTCAATTTGTGCAGAATTCATGTGTGAACATGATCTATAGTTTAGACAGACCTGTTCATATTTGAGTTCCTTTGAAAGAGCTTGGTTGACTAAATACTGACAAAAGAGAATCCTACATACCTGTACTTTGTTCAGTAAGAAACACATAAGCCACAAGTATCTGCACATAAACGTTTTTCTCCGTATTGATGACCATCACGTAAATATTAAATTTAAATCTAGGTTAACACCACCTCACCATACCAAAACCTAGTTTCAATGTTATGTATATGATCACAAAACTGTACCTACAACTAGATTCCTGATGAATTTGAGAAATTATATATTTTGTGTTTGAAGCGATAAATGAAAAGAAGATTTTACAAATGTGAGCCGAACTTTCAACAAACTTTTTCATATATTCTTCAATAACTTTTCAATTACATGTTTTTTATTGTTGCATTTCAGTAATTTTCTCTTTGTTTCTGATGCGATTAATTGTCCGACCAAGATTTCTGTCAAATAGTAATTATTGGGTCAATTCATATTTCTCTTTTGTATTCATTCTCAGTATCGGTGCTATATTTTCAATATCAATAAGAGTCAACTGAGAAATATTCAAGTTTCATTGCAGTTTGACAAGAATCTAGAGAGAATGAAACAGTAATAACTAGACAACAATTATGAGCACTGCGTGTGGAATTCCGATAACACACGTTCCAATAATTAGCCAAATATTCACATTCTATGCCAGTCCAATAACAAGATAAAATATAGATTCGCTAGAGATTAGATAGAAAAGTAGTTACTGCCGATGACGCAGCTAAGCAACCACCACTAAAAACAAAACAATCGAGAGACCGACTATCACAAAACCTGACTCATAGCATTTAATCAGTCGTTCACGAGCTGAGAGGTGAGCAGGTAGATCGGTGTTTCTTTGTTTTCGGAACACACTGCGATATACTTCCTAGTTTTCTGAATTGAAACGCAGCGGTGTCAGTGATTGTTCAAGTTGGGACATCAATTTGAAAAGTGAACTGTGGGCAAACGGTTGAGTGCAGTTTTTGTTGTTGGAAACAGATATCATCCTACCAGTTTACCTTCACGTTTAGTCTAGAATAATATACATATTTACTTTGGTCTTCATGGAAGCCCATTGGTAATGGTGAGTAACTCTTTAATTTTGTAAGAAATCGACAGTTAACCATAAAGTGGAACCTACTATCCTTGAAATTATGTCGTATCGAGAATTGTGAACGTGAGGAAGGAATTTGTTTACACGAGTTGATGGAAATATCAATGCACTCTTCAGTCATTGAGACTAATGATTGAAGATTAGATAGATCAGAGAACCTAACTAAGCTCAAAACAAAACAATAATTTCGTAAGGTTTCGATCGATATACCTTTTTTTCATTTTTTTAAACCATGATTTTCAATTTTCACAACACGTGAGTTGGTAGCTTATTACAATCATAACGTATATATTTATTACTTTTCAACATTTCCTTTGAATTTAGTAGGTACTCCATACTATGTCTAAATCAAATCTAAGATTCGCTTCCGTTCCGTTTAGTACTAAATTTAAACGTTTACATTAATTTAGTATTGAACACGAATAATGAGTTATTTGCGTGGTGAAACACGTGTTACGGTTTTACAGTTTAGTAAAAATCTCATGATAGAATGTAACTTGAATTTTGCAAAATATAAAGTTGGAGTTTGCTCGGAATTTTCAATTGACAAATCCGGTAATTGATGAATAATTTGCATCTTCTTATATTTTGAGTTAAAAAAGTTGGTTAGAATTTTATTTGCTCAAATTTAACTCGCCTCAATTCCAATTTCATGAAGTTCTTTGAAATTGTTTATGTTTCTGACCTCTGGAATATAGGAAAATGTTTTATAGGTGAAACGTCAAAACCCCTGAATATAATAACAAACGAACATCGTGAATACAGAGCCGGATTTAGAAGTCTGTACCCTGGGGCAATGGATGAGTGGGGCCTGGCAATTTTTTTATAGAAGTGGAATTCTCAACTTTTGAGAAAATTGAAAATTTACAAAAATAGGGGATGTTTGAACTTCGTGGGCCTCATGTGTTCATCCCTTTCACGAAATCTGGGGTCGTCTCTGTTGAGCGCTTCATGAAGATCACGCAGCGCTGGACTGGCGTGTGTTCGTATTCTTTCGAATATGTTTTCGGCGTGTTCTCTCTACGTAGTGGATGTTAAGGTCCAGGTCCCGGTAGATGTAGATGTATTCCAATAGTGAACCACATGTGGGTACGGGACCTGGCACACACGCCGACCGGTGATCGGCGTTGATCAAGGTCTCGTAACTACATGTGGTTCACTATTGGAATTTGGACGACCAGCATAAAATCGGCCGTCCACAATCGGTGTGTGTGCAATTAGCTTTAGGCTAATAGTGAACTACATGTAGGAACGGGACCTTGCACACATACCTACATGTGATCGACGCCGGTGATCGACGCCGATCACCGGTCGGCGTGTGTTCCAGGTCCCGTACCCACATGTGGTTCACTATTGGAATTTGGACGACCGGTATAAAATCGGTCGTCCAAAATCAGTGTGTGTGCATTTATCGTTAGGCATATATTTTGAAGCGTTTACGGCAGCTCGTAAGCAAGCGTTCAAGAACGTCTGGATACTGCGTCTGTATGTCGCTGCGCACTGGCTCCAGGCAGTGGAGGCTTACAGAATGATGGGTAGTAGAACGGTCTTGATTAGAAGCAGTTTCACTTTGAGACCCATGTTACTCCTGCGTCCAGTAATGGGACTGGGGTTCTGTATGGCGGCTGTCGCCAGCCTATCCTCTGCCGTATGAACGTTAGTCTCCTGTTGTTCGGGTCCATAATTTGTACCCCTGGACAGGACAGATTTGAATGCACAGTTTACAAATTTTTTTCTTAAATTTCAAATTACTGTTCTTGTTTGAATTCGTTCATTATTCTGCTGGAAAGTTCAGAAACAACTTCTAGGGATGGCTGAAATAAAAAGTGAAGGAAACAATATTAAAAAAAGGCAGACATCGATAAACTTAGCAAGTTTCACCTTGCTGAATACATCCTGAAATATTTAAAACCATATTAATCACCATGATAAACAAAATCTAAAAAAGTAATTTCCTACTGTTTATTAACAAGAAAATGACCACCTAATGTTGAATTCGTTAAAAAAATCAGCTCAGTTTCTGTACTCAAGAAAAGTATCTGACTGATATAAAATTACGTCTAGTCCCTGAATTGTATCATATCTACTTTTATTTTGTTGGTAAGTGTCGTGTAAGTGTATATTGAAGTAATATGTCCTCCTAGTTTTGAGAAGTAATTTCTTTTTGAAGTAATTTCACTGTTTTACAATTATTTTCAATGTAGGAGTTCATTTCGTTGTTCCAATTCCGGAATTAGTTTGTTCTCTCAAACATATCAAGAAGTTCATTCACTTAAATATATAAAGGGGAAAATTTAAATGTTCTTAAACTTTGATCCACGATTTGGCAGAAGTTATTGAAAACCCCTTGTACGGAAATGTTCATTCAATAAGGTCCTAGATTAAGGAATTGACAACGAGGTTTCCAATGAAATTTCATGGAAAATAATTCACCGATTACTATCATTGCATCACAGTGGTTGAAAGTAATTGCACATATTTGAAATATAAGGTAGATTACTGAAATAGTCTGATATATTACGTAAATCTATAATAATTGACGATTATTGAAATATTTGTTGTAATAGTTGGCAGAATACCTAGGATTTTGAAACAATATATGCGATTGCCAAATTTTCAATATTATTGATTACGTTGGGAATCGAAGTTTGCTGTATTAAGCTGAGTTGTTCATATGGTTAATGTAACATTTGTAACGGATATTAATTAACTAAAAATTGAGTATTTTCTTTCAGTTCTAGTGTTATGTACAGTAACACTGTAGTATCCGTTTGTATAAAGAAATACCACTAACACCAGAGGTTCCACTTGTTCATTTCACTTAGTAGTTTTTGACATTCCTAATCCTGGAGACCAAAAATAATGAATCTTCAAAAATCTTGAAAAATCGATAGATTTTTCAATAATATTGAGAGAGCGGAAGAACATTTTCCATGATGTATTGCATTACAGACGATTTAACTTGATGGTTTGAATATATACGTTATGTTGATTTTTTTATTTATGAATTAATAAAGACGATATTATTATTATTATTGAATTATTTCACTTCAATTTGAAAGAGTAAATCAAATTTCAATTCGATATAACTCATTTTGACAAATGCAGGGCTTGAAATATGGCTTTTCAAATTGGAGTGTATGCATGGGGATCTCGTAAAAAGTAAGGGATAGAGAGTAAGTTAAATCGTGGCAAAAATGCTTATTTTCGATGCCCAAAAATCGTTTCTTGCTTTTTTGTTTCGAAGATATACGAGAAAAACCAAACATTTTGAAACTGTAGTTTACGCTGTATCTTCTTTATTTGTAGAAAAATCGAAAATTTAGTTACAGTATGCCACAGTGAAAGTACTATCAGAATAAGATCATAGAACTTATTTACAGGATTTAGTCTGACTTGGGATACCCTCAACTTTGAAATTTCGAAAAAGAACCCATATTTTCTCGTTGATTCATATAATGTAGCAAAATCGAAAACTTCAATATTTCCGAGAAATTCAGTAATTTGATCAATTCATAATCGCTCGAATGGAAGCAAATCCTACTCTATTTATTTTCCACATTGACTGGTAATAGTCAATTACTAATGAAAACTGGAATCATTAAAATATCTAAGTGCATTTTCCCTACTTTTTTTTACTTTCGAGTTTTTCATGCTTACCAGTCTTACTTCTTTTAACATTCCCTTTTTTATCATTTCAGGTGAATTTTCATTTTTGGCACTCAACACAATTAATAATTCCACTTTTCAAATATTACTAAAGAGGTAAATAATATTTAAGGTACGAACAATATTATTGGTTTGATAAGCTTCGAAACGAATTTTAAATAATGATAAAAAGAAAGTTACTTATTTGCATGACCTAAATATTTTTGTATGGGGTTAATTTCTTGAAATCATTTGATTCCTTCCTTTCTTTGGGAAGATTCCCATATTTTTTTTAAAGCCAACACCTTTCTTTCCTAAAAATTAATCTCTCCTAAAAATATACCCATTTCAATTTTCTTATATTCACTTTTGAAAGTCAAATATATGAACTAATATGAACACAAAGATAACAAAAACCCACTTCCTCATATTTATACATATAAAAATCCTAACTGAATTGGTAAGCGGTTCTTTTTATATAACATAAAATTGAATTCAGAATCCAAGGTGAGTTCCTATTCCGTCAACAAAGTTGACTTGATATATTTCACTCCCACTCGGTATTTCTCGATGTTTCTTTGTCCAACACACATAAAGGACAGACTTTTAGCAGACTCTATACATCCTTTAAATATTATTGGTGGAAATTATGCCTTAAATTGGTGTAACCTTTGTTACTTTGATCCCAATTACTATATTTAGCGGGTGACGATACTTTATTGTGCTATAAGTACCTAGTGTTATAAACGCCATCCCAGTTTTATTATATGAGAATTGCGACTCAAGATGCAGTGCTCAGCATCCAGTAAGGGACTGGCCCCCCAACGAGATCATCTACACGTATTTTAGGTCGGGTGGTATTGCGGGTTGAATAATGGGAAAAGGAGCCAAAACAAGAACTAACCCAGTTATGCCACGCAGAAAGCCGAAGTAAAACCATCAGGCACCTGTTCTAACATCTTCCGTTTGGATGATTCGTCGCAAGTAACCTCCTATATATGAAAAGCTAAAACTAATCCATTCGGTCGGCGACAACGGATAGACCGGTTTCGGAGTACTAGCTCCTCGTCAGTACCGGGAGGGTCATCCCAGACAGAGTGAAACGTCTGAGTATCCCGAACGAACAAAATAATTCCAACCAGTCTCTATCTGCAGTTGATTTAGAAAAATGTACCACTGGATCGTTATTCCATACTTCTCGAATGTGGGTCGATTGTAATGGCGTCCCAACCTTCTAATGAAATTATGTATCTTTCTGAAACGTATCTTACTTATATAGACTTTTTATGGTATTGTGTCTATTTCATAAGAGTGATCGAGAG